GTGCCCACACCCTCCAAAAGTGTTCCACACTGTCCTCAAACCTCCCACCATGACCTTCACCTCCTAAAGCACTTTCCAGTCTGCCACAGTGCTCCTGCAAAGTCCCCAGCGTCCTTTACCAACATCCCCTACAGGACCACCAGGTCTGCTGAAAAGACCCCCTACCCCCTCCGGAACCCCCATCCCCCTACAGTGACACCAGAGCCTTCCAGCATTTCAGTACATATTCTGCATTCCCATACACCTGCTTTGGCCATCTACGTAACTATTACCCTGGCAAAGCAATGAATATTGTAGATATGTAGTGCAAATTCTACAGTATTTGTAGATGCTGACTTCTAATATCTTTGGGGTTGAACTGAAGCTCCTTGTTCACATTGACACCCACTGCAGTACATTTTGAACACGGTGCGGGAAACTTGCATGGAACGCGGGTTTTCTTGCACTGCTTTCTGGTGTGAGCGGGCACCAAGAGTGAAGTTCCGCTTTAACCACTTCCCTACCGACCTGTTGTTATATGATGGCGGGATTTTCCTCATTCCAGGTGAGCGTCATATGAAGTCCTCCCAGAATGCACTTTGCGTGTGGCCAGGCTGCGGGCGCGATGTGTCACCGTCTATGTGCAGATGACAGATCGCTACACCAGCCCGCTGCTGGTACCAAGTAATCGCTGTGACCAATCACAGCAGATCACATGACAATTGTAAACAATGAATGCCTTTGATTCATTGTATACAATAGCGTTGCTAGCTGTGATTGGTCACAGTGATCACATGGTACAGACAGGGCTAATCACAACAAAACACTGATTGAATTGATTTCATTCGGTAAAAAATGCTTGCTTATAGCAGTGAAATTCACTGCTATAATTAATCATAATATGTTAAAAAAAAAAAAAAGAAAATCATAATCACTTCCCCAGAGTAGTACAATGGTAATACAATAACATTGTATTGCTCTGGTCACATTATTCAAAAAATGTAATTAAAAAAAAATATTTTTGAAAAATTGAAAAAAAAATGATTACAATTTTTTTCCGTACTGTCACCAATCAGTGTCCCTGATCACCGCCACACCAGCAAACTTTTTTTTTTTTTAATTAATTTTCCAAAAACTTATGACAAAAATTTACAGTGCCTCTTACTAAATACCTTGGACTGTCTACATTTCAAAAAGGGGTAATTTGAGGGTTTTTTGTACTGTCCTGGCCTGAGATCGGCCAGCAGTACATCAGGATTGATTATTTTCAGATATATCCCATAGTTTGTAGACTATAACTTTCCTACAGACTAAATAATAGACACTGATTTGGGTTATTTTCACCAAAGAAAAGTAGCAGAATACAGTTTAGCCTAAATTATTGAAGAAAGATTATTTATTTGCAAAATGTTATAACAGGAACTAAAAAAAAAAAAAAAAAATTTCCAAACTTTTCAATTTATTTTTGTTTATTTATGAAAAAAAAACCTAGTGGTGATTAAATATCACCAAAAATTTGTGTGAAAAAAATGATAAAAAATGTAATTTGGGTACAATGTTGTACGACTGCGCAATTGTCATTCACAGTGTGACAGCACTGAAAGCTGAAATTTGGCCTGGGCAGGAAGGGGGTGAAAGTACCCTGTATGGAAGCCATTAAGCTGGATTTAGACCTAGTGGTACCGTCCAGGGGCAGACTGACAACTCATGGGGCCCCCGGGCAATAGGGGATCATGGGGCCCCTGTGTCCTTGCCCAAACTCAAAAAAGCCTATGAAAAAGGTACCAGGGGCATCTCATGGGAGTCCCTACTGACCCCGGGCCCTCGGGCAGTGCCCGAGTTTCCAAATGGTCAGTCTGCCCCTGGTACCGTCAAACATACCTTCGAAAGTCTTCTCAGTAAGGTCTGAATTCTAGGGTGCCATCCTTCAAATGTAGGCATTCTTCAGTGACTGTAGGCACGTTCCACGCTCTCCTATTGGCTGGTATGGCCTCCTGTCATAGTAATGAGCCAATAGGAAGGTGTGGGAGGGGTCGACTACAGATTTATTATTTATTTCAGGTACTTATATAGTGCCATCAGTTTACGCAGCGCTTCACATATATATTGTACATTCACATCAGTCCATAACCCTCAAGGGGCGTACAATCTAAGGTCCCTAACTTACATTCATACATACTAGGGACAATTTAGACAGGAGCTAATTCACCTACCAGCATGTCTTTTGGAGGAAATCGGAGTACCCGGAGGAAACCCATGCACAGGGAGAACATGCAAACTCCGGGCAGGTGGTGCTGTGGTTGGGATTCGAACCAACGACCCTAGTAGTGCCAGGCAGAAGTGCTAACCATTTAGCCACTGTGCTGCCCGTAGATGTCTCAATATGCATGGGTCCTGGAGAAGACATCGAAGGTGTCTGCATGGTATTCCTCTAGTTGTGTTAGAGATGACAGGTACACTTTAAAATTTCATAGAATTAAGAAGGAAAAGTCCAAATTTAGCTAAATCAATCTACAATGACTTTCATTATGAAAACATTCTTCTTCATGAGACTCTGACGTTCCAATTCTTTGTAGACAATATGACATGAATTCTAATCCGGTTATTGTATCACTGAAAGTAAATCTACAATGGGCAGATCTTCCCCTTTCTCTGTCTGCTGGTGAACATTTGTTACATTTTAATATATTCTTCAACGATTCTTGTATGTTCTTCAGCCCCTCCTCTTCTTGATTTTTCCGTTATGTTTTATTGAAATTCAATAAAGTAATTTCTCTGGTTTTATGGCAGGAAAGACGAGTGAGGATCCTTAGGAGGATTCTTCTTGCTGGAACGGTAAGAGGCTGTTATCTGTCAGAGGTGAAGCTGGCATTGCCGGAACCATGGTAAAAATGGCAGTTTTGGGAAAGAGAATGTAGCCGCAGCATGCGTGTGCCATCCCTGCAACTAACATGGCTTCTAAGGGCTCGTTCACACTAGCAGTTGTGGCTGGTAAAACCCTGTGGTTGAGCTGCATTTTTAACCCCCCCCCCAACTGCGTCCCCCTTGCAGAAGCCTGGGGTGTACACATGTGCAGCCACAATTGCCACAAAAGGAATTGTACCCTCTCTTGCTTTCAGTCAGCGTAGCAAGTGAATGGGGCTTCTCTGTAAGTGTCCCGCAACTGTTTGAAATGCACGCAGTTGCAGCACGCTAGTGTGGGGTCCAAGGGGTTAAAGCAGGCAGCGAGGAGGCGATGCAGTGCCTCCTCACTGCCTGTCAAATGCTCTCTGAAGAGCAAACTGAATGCAGATCACTCCTCAGAAGCAAGGCTTGCTTGAACTAGCTCTTGGGGCTCATTTACACTAGTGGTAGCTCTTGCCGCCCTTCTGAAAAGCGGCTCATAGTGGATCACTTTTCGAGGGCAGTTAACAAGCGGCTGGGAGGCAATGCATCGCCTTTATTAATGCCTGTTTGGAAAGCCAGCACTATCATATCGTAATGGTGTGCATTGCTGTGGCAGTACAGTGGCTAGATGGTTAGCACTTCCGCCTGGCAGTACTAGGGTTGTTGGTTCGAATACCACCTGCTTGGAGTTTGCATGTTCTCCCTGTGCCTGCATGGGTTTCCTCTGGGTACTCTGGTTTCCTCCCACACTCCAAAGACATGCTGGTAGGTTAATTGGTTCCTGTCCAAATTGGCCCTAGTATGTGTATGTATGAACGTGAGTTAGGGACCTTAGATTGTAAACCCCTTGAGGGTTATGGACTGATGTGAATGTACAATATATATGTAAAGCGCTGCGCAAATTGATGGCGCTATATAAGTACCTGAAATAAATAAATTGCATTTGGCTGCAGGGCAGTTGTGGCACGGTGAATGTGATAGGGGGGTATAATTTGTAAGTATTGCGACCATGGCATGTGTACAACCCCATCCAGCCACTGTGTTAAGGGGGTCAGTAAGCTGCAGTTCAACCCCCAGTGTTATTGCCCCCTCCAGCCGCAAGTGTGAACTAGCCTAAGTTTACAGCAGTAGATATGGGTGGAGAAATGCATATGCTCCTCATACCTAAAAGCACCAGGTAATGTAATCTGAATCCCTCTAACCATTACTACATCATTAAATATGTTTTATTTTCATGCAGCCGGTATAAGTACCTTGATTTGACTCCGTATCAGCCTCTTACAGTCCCTGTACAGCAGACCTCAAACTGGGGGAGGGAGAAGTAGCACAGCTAGCCATTTAGTTTTGCTGCAATTCTAGGAGTGTTCTGATAGGAGGAGAGCAGAGTGACAGATGAGTTCCTCAGTCTGCTGCTTCCTCTTTAGCTGTCCATTCACAGGCTGGAGGAGGGACAAGAATTGTATGTGTTGTATAAAGTTGTAAACCCTTACATATACCCATATACATAAACATATACCCAGAAGTGAAACAAATCCTCCTACATAAGTTGTACCTGTTTATCTGTAGTCTTCTCTTCTCTACACCCATTCAAAGTTCTGAATTTATAGAGCTTGTCTGAGCTTTCAGAAAGCAGGGGGCGGAGAGCTGATGTTACACTCGGCAGAGCTCAGTGAGGAGAGCTCTGACAGCTGATTGGAGGGAAGAGACACCCCACTCCACACAGCACACAGGAATAGAGCTGAGGCTGATAATCACAGGCTGCGTGCTGGAGCTCCCTCCCCTGTCACCTTTTTACCACTTAGTGTCAGGATAGCTTGTCAGAAGCAACTCATGTAGATAGCAGAGGGACTAGACAGCAGAGAGAAATGACACTTAGTACTCTGGATTGAGACAAATACACAGTTTAGAGGGATATGCTTTGTTCATATAGGTTTACAACCACTTTAACTACAGTAGAGAAAAATCAGGTTCTCTGCTCCTCCATACAGGGCTATGCTGTGTGGCAGAGCTGTGTAAATCGCAGGGCTGGATGAACTTAAATTATTTAGCAGCTTCCTTGGAGTTCTGCTTTCATTTAAACTGTTAAACTTTTTTTTTTTTGTTAGGTCTGTCTCCGGCGCTGAGAGTCCATAGAAATGTCCTTGTCATTGGAGGATGCTTCAGAATCTTGCTGGGATGAGAAATCAGATGGACAGAGAGACACCACACCAGGTAATCTGACACACTCCTATACATCTATGGGGTCAGAGCAGAAGCCACACTTGTAGGTTGTATGAATCGGGGTATCCTCATTTTGGGGGATATCTTGCTTTAGAGCAGGGGTGTCAAACTGGCGGCCCTCCAACTGTTGCGAAACTACAAGTCCCATCATGCCTCTGCCTTTGGGAGTCATGCTTGTAACTTTTCAATCTTGCAATGCCTCATGGGACTTGTAGTTTGTCGACAGCTGGAGGGCTGCCAGTTTGACACCCATGCTCTAGGGCAGGGGTGGGCAAACTTTTTGACTTGAGGGCCGCAATGGATTCATATATTGGACCCGGGGGCCGGACCAAGAGTAGATGAATGATGTGTATGTGTCATCCATAGTAAGTATAGTAATATTCCCCCATAGTAAGCATAGTAATTAATCCCCCATATAGTAATTCATCCCCCATATAGTAATTCATCCCCCCATAGTAACTCATCCCCCATAGTAATTCATCCCCCATATAGTAATTCATCCCCCATAGTAATTCATCCCCCATAGTAATTCATCCCCCATATAGTAATTCATCCCCCATAGTAATTCATCCCCCATAGTAATTCATCCCCCATAGTAATTCATCCCCCATATAGTAATTCATCCCCCATAGTAATTCATCCCCCATATAGTAATTCATCCCCCATAGTAATTCATCCCCCATATAGTAATTCATCCCCCATAGTAATTCATCCCCCATAGTAATTCATCCCCCATAGTAATTCATCCCCCATATAGTAATTCATCCCCCATAGTAATTCATCCCCCATATAGTAATTCATCCCCCATAGTAATTCATCCCCCATATAGTAATTCATCCCCCATATAGTAATTCATCCCCCATAGTAATTCATCCCCCCTATAGTAATTCATCCCCCCTATATTAATTCATCCCCCATAGTAATTCATCCCCCCTATAGTAATTCATCCCCCCTATAGTAATTAATTCCCCATATTAAGTCCCCAAGTCCCCCCTGTGTCAATTCACTTACCGTTCCTCTCGCCGTGTTCCCACGCCGTTGCGGTGTAGCATGAAAATCTGTCTCCTATGAGGATCTGTCCCCCTCGACGTATCTGCGCATGTGCCAGTTTCAGGCATTAGCAGCCGATTGGCGATCTCCGGCACATGCGCAGATACGTCGAGGGGGACAGATCCTCATAGGAGACAGATTTTCATGCTACACCGGTCTTCAGGGCGGACTGTGAGAGGAGCCTAGCGGGAGCCTAGCTCCGCCGGATTAAAAGGTTCGCCGTAGTTTGCCCATTGCTGCTCTAGGGGATATCCTACACGAATGAGTGAGATAATCCGGAGTTCTTCATTTTTCAGCGGTAGAGCCATACAGGGGACGTACAGGTAAAAAGGCACAAGATTGTGTTGACTTGCCAACAGCGTTGCAGCTCCACATAGTCGACTTTTCCATCACATTCAATGTGCTGAATACATGGTTGTGTCTCCTGGATTTGGTGGGTGGACAGTTAAAGTGCAAGAGGCTGAAATTCTCTTTCTTGGAAAAAAATGCTGCTTCAGTAGTCACTTCCACAATCCTCACCTAGGCGAATTTGGCATCCCTTTCTCCGCCCCCTCCCACATCACATGTCCCAGGAGGCTGCAGAACCATTTGAACTTGCGCATGCGCAGTGTGGAGCCAGCTGTGGTTCCTCAGAAAGCCACAGCCAGCTCCCATATCCAAGATGGCAGTGCTGGGGGACTCACAGAAGAACCGACTGCAGGAAGACAGCACTGGACTCCAGGCATGGGTGATTAACTATTTTTTTTTAAAGTTAGCAACTTCAGTATTTGTAGCTGCTGACATTTTAAAAAAACAAAGCTGGAGTTCTTCTTTAATCAGGAGCCAGAAGATGTCTTATTTAGGGGTCGGTTTACTAAAACTCGAGAGTGTAGAAACTTGCGTAGCTGTGCATAGTAACCAATCAGCTTCCAGCTTTTTTTGGTCAAAGCTTAACTGAACAAGTTGAAGTTAGAAGCTGATTGTGCAAAATCTGGTGCAGTTCTGCATGATAGCCAATCAACCCCATAGGTTTTTGCTGCTGTGATTTACGGGGTAGGGTGGCTACGTTCATTCTCCATGGTCCCACTGTATTTAGGAATATAGCCACCCACCTTTGCTCACTACTGGGATGGATTATGGACTATGGGACTGACTTTTAATATAAGGACACTTACCTTTCCAGGGATCCAGCAATGTCCTCACCCAAGCCGATTCGGGTGCAGCTGCTGGCATCTTAAAAAAGAAGTATGGGGTTTGTTTTTTTTCCCCCCAAATTATACTTGCGTAGGTGGATGCAGGATTGGTCCGATGCTGCATCTGTCCCCTTTCCGGCCTAAGTGTGAGAACTCAGCGGTCACATGACCATATTCTCACAGCCAAAAAACTAAAAATTCTTCCTGCGCCTAGTAAAACACTCTAATACAGGTTCTATCCTGCTGCTGTGCACTGTGATCAACACAAACAATGAAAAAAAGAAAAAACAGCGCAAACATAGACCTTTACATAAAATCAATATTACAAAGTGCAAACATAAGTGAAAAATTAATCAGTGGTAAAGTCCATCAAAATAAACCAAAGTTCAAAAAATATTAGTGCAAAAAAGAAAAAGAAAAAATATTTTCAAATTCTTCTTCTAATATAGAGGAACTTCCACCTTCCACCCGTGAAAACCAATATCAAATGCACTCACCAGATAAAGGTGAAAAAAAAACGCCTCTTAGGAATTTTATGGGATCCTACACCCTCTTTCGTATCCACTCTATAGGAATCCTCCTCTCCACCATAGGCTCCACCATCCGACCAGGGAAAAAAAATCTCAGATAGTGTAATATTGTAAGACACCATTCATAAGTGAAATCAAGGATTAAGGTCACTCACATTCAATTCAATTTAAAAAGGCATATTTATTAGGATCAGCTTCTTCCAGATAAACAGTAGATGCAAGGCAACCTCCCACGGAATCTCACATCACAGCTCCAGGTTTCAGCAGAAGCTTGAGAACGCCCGATGGGAGGGGCGAAACGCGTTGACGCATTTCCGGTTTGTACTCCGTACGTCTGACGTCACTTCCGGTGAGTGGAGCGCACGCTGAGCGGTGCGTTCCAGCGGCCATCTTTTGGGATCTGTATATGCGGTGTCTCTGTAGAGCTTCTGCTGAAACCTGGAGCTGTGATGTGAGATTCCGTGGGAGGTTGCCTTGCATCTACTGTTTATCTGGAAGAAGCTGATCCTAATAAATATGCCTTTTTAAATTGAATTGAATGTGAGTGACCTTAATCCTTGATTTCACTTATGAATGGTGTCTTACAATATTACACTATCTGAGATTTTTTTCTCCCTGGTCGGATGGTGGAGCCTATGGTGGAGAGGAGGATTCCTATAGAGTGGATACGAAAGAGGGTGTAGGATCCCATAAAAAATTCCTAAGAGGCGTTTTTTTCACCTTTATCTGGTGAGTGCATTTGATATTGGTTTTCACGGGTGGAAGGTGGAAGTTCCTCTATATTAGAAGAAGAATTTGAAAATATTTTTTCTTTTTTTCTTTTTCTTTTTTGCACTAATATTTTTTGAACTTTGGTTTATTTTGATGGACTTTACCACTGATTAATTTTTCACTTATGTTTGCACTTTGTAATATTGATTTTATGTAAAGGTCTATGTTTGCGCTGTTTTTTTCTTTTTTTCATATTCTCACAGCCGCTCTGAGCAGAGAGTGGTGACTTTCAGCCCGCTGTCTGCTGAAAAATGGGTCACAGGAGAGCAGAACGAGCTGCACTTCTGTGATCCAGAGAAGTACAGCCAAAAGAGCTTTGGTTGTACTTCCCCTTTAAGTAAGGGAAACCAGCAGTGAAGCTTTGCAGCTTCACAGCTGGTTTATTACTGCACATGCATGAAGTGCACTGTGAATGGTCCTGCAGGCTTCTGGGACCTGTGAAGTGTCTCAGAAGGTAAGGAGGGGGGGCCCAGCTTCCGGCTCAGATTGCAAATAGGCATCTGGCCAAAAGTGGGAGCAGGTACCTGTCAAAACCAGGAAACCAGGTACCCGCTACCCCCCCTCCAAAAAAAAGTGACAACTGTGGGAGGGGAGTACACAAACAAGCGGAATTTCCCCTTTTGTGTGAAATTCCACTTTAATGCATCTTCTGCATTAAAGTGGTTGTAAACCCTCACATATACCCAGTGAGGTTACTGGCCTCAGGTGATACACAGAGATGAAGCAAATCATCCTACATAAGTTGTACCTGTCTACCTGCAGTCTTCTCTTCTCTACATCTGTTCAAAATTATGAATTTCCACAGCTTGTCTAAAATTTCAGAAAAAAGGAGGTGAAGAGCTGACGTTACACTCTGCAGCACTGAGTGAGAAGAGCTCTGAGAGCTGATTGGAGGAAAGGAACACCCCCTCCCTCCTCCACACAGGAACAGAGCTGAGGCTGTCAATCTGCTGGAGGCCCTCCTGTCACCATTTTTCTATCGGTGTCAGGAAAACTTGTCAGAAGAGACTTATGCTGATAGCAGACAAACTAAGCTGCAGACAGAAATAACACGACGTGCCTTGAGAAGTACACACTATAGAAGGATATGCTTTGTTCAGATTTCATGTGTGGAGGTTTACAACTACTTTAGGGTAAAAAACCTTCTGTGCACGGGTCCCCCAGCCCCTCCTTATACTTACCCAAACCTGGTCTTGATCCTTGTCCGCTCTCTTCCTCACGCAGCAGATTGATAGCAGCAGTAATTATTGGTTTCTACTAATGTCAATTAAATCCTGTGACAAGGGAGCAGGGGGTGGGGCTGAGCCATGCTGTGTGTGTCTATAGATGCACACAGCGCTGTTCAGGATCAAGCCTGCACGAGTGCCTCCATAGGAAGTGGCTTCCTGGGGGGGAACTCACCAAAAAGGTGGAGCCAGGAGTGCTGGTTGGGAACCCCAGAAGAGGGGAATTGGGGCTGTTCTGTGCA